ATCAGTCAGGCTCCTCCTCGGGTCCAGTCAGGGGGGAACTCTGGCCTCTGGTCCTCGCGGTTCCCGGGGGCCGGTGTGGGCGCACCACTTCTCCAGAGCCGAGGCCCCGTCTTAGGCGGGGCTCCTCCCGCACAGGCTCTGGCCCGCCCTTGCCCATTTCCCTTGCCGGAGCAGCAGAGGCCGGTGCTGTGCACACTGGGGCGGGGACGCCCCCACGTCCCTGCACCCGGGAGCCTGTGTTGGAGACCCCCCCCGTGTCGGGTCACGTCCAGGCCCCTCAGAGCGCCCTCCTCCAGCTGACTTGATGGGGTGTGGGCAGCTTAGAGCCTCAGGCAAGGAAGGCCTTAGGTGAGGCTCTGGGGGGGCCCACTGTGCTCTCTCGTGGGGGGACAGGCCGGTACCGCAGGCTGCGCGAGCTCCCGGGGACCGGGTGGGCACCTAGCAGCCCCATCTGTCCTCCCAGACTCTGCGGTGGTTCTGGAGGAGGGAAGCCCCAGCGACGCTGATTTGCCCCTGGAGCCCACCGAGCTGGAGGACTTTGAGGCAACGCTGGGCACCGAGAGGCACGGCCGGCGCCCCGGAGCTTACAGCAGGGTAAGTACGCGAGGGGGCCTGTGTGCTCACCCCTTGGCACTTCCGCCCCAGCCCCCGGGAGGAGGCAGGGGAGAGGGGAAGACGGCCGGGGCCTCTGTTTCAGATTTGTGGCTCCGGCTGACTCACTCTGAACTTGGGCAAGTCTTTTGCCTCTTTTTTTGTTACCTAAGAACTGACTACGTGTCCTTCCAAGCTCCTCCCGCGTGGACGACCTGGGGTTTCCCGGGGATCCCTGTGGGGCCAGCGGCTCATCGTTGGCATCTTGCGGCCCTGCTGCTCAGCACGGGCAGGGGTCGTCCTGGGGAGGGGAGGGACGCGTGGCTCCTGTGGCCTTGCCAGCCGGGGGGTGGGGACAGGTGGGGCTTCGTGGCCCCCGAGGAAACCCCTTGGGGGGGGGGGTCACTGGTACGTCCGACGAAGGCTCTGCGGACTTTTTCCCAGTCGTCTTCCAGCTCCAGCCAAGAGGAGAAGCCGTTCGCTGCGGAAGAGGCAGCTGCGAGAGGGCTCCCTATCGAGCGGGCCGTGTCTGCCGAGGGAGCCCGGCCCTCCGCGGGGCTCTCCTTCCAGCCCGCCCAGCCCCTCAGCAAGTCCAGCTCCTCTCCGGAGCTGCAGACGCTGCAGGACACACTCGGGGACCCCGCGGACAAGGCCGACGTTGGCCGACTGAGCCCCGAGGCCAAGGCTCGCTCGCAGTCCGGGACCCTGGACGGGGCAGGCGCCGCCTGGTCAACCCCAGGGGACGAGAGCCAGGGCCGGGGCCCTGCGCGGCCTGAAGGTCCCTTGCCTTCTGGCTGTCCCCGCTCTCCTGGTGGCCTGCGGCCCAGAGGCTATACCATTTCTGATTCAGCCCCGTCGCGCAGAGGCAGGAGGGTAGAGCGGGACACCTTCAAGAGCAGAGCTGGGGCCTCCAGTACTGAGAAGGTGCCAGGCATCAACCCCAGGTGAGCCTTGCCCTTTCAGGCTGGAGCTGCTGGACAGGCCCCATGGGGACACGGTGCCCCAGTGGCCCCGGGCAGAACAGACTGGGCGACAGATCCTTGTGGCCTCTGGCCCGTGGCTGGTGGGAGCCACGTGAGAGGGCAGTTCCTTCAGCGATGGGGCGGAGGCGCGCTTCTGTGTGTCTGGGTGGATGGTGCCGGCCGTGACCCCGGCCCGGCCCTCCCGTCTCTCCCCTGCAGCTTCGTGTTCCTGCAGCTCTACCACTCACCTTTCTTTGGTGACGAGTCCAACAAACCGATCCTTCTGCCCAATGAGGTAGGCGTGCTCACTCTCCGCAGCAAGGTGCCCCCCTGGAGCCGGGGTGGGGGACGCTGCGGGGTGCCGTAGCCAGGTTTGCAGAGACAAAGCCTCAGCTCCTTGTGGCAGTCTATAGCGATCTACCCTGGGTGAAGAGAGCCCTCCCCAGACAGGCATCTGACGGGCTGGTGGCCAGGGACGGTCTCTGCCCAGGGCTCAGGCAGGGCTCTGTGGCTACAGTCCTTTGAGCGGTCGGTGCAGCTCCTCGACCAGATCCCATCGTACGACACCCACAAGATCGCCGTCCTGTACGTGGGCGAAGGCCAGGTAAGGCTGCTGGGGCCCCGGGCCCAGCCGGGTGACCTCCCTGCCTGGAGGCGGGGTCAGGGCCTGGCCCCTCATCACCAGAGCTCAGTCACCGTGTGAGCTGCCGGGGGTCAAGTGCTCGAGCGGCCCCGTGTGGGCTGCCGTTCCGGTGCCAGGGACGCGGCAGGAGGGACGGTGGAGCGTGGGAGCACAGAGCACCCAGAGGGGCGCTGGGGGCGGCAGAGACGGTGGCAGGTACACGGATGCCACGGGTGTGGGCAGGGCACTGCTCATGTCAGTGATCCGGGTGTGGGGTGGCCGGCGCAGTGCCTGCGGCACGGGGCGGGAGCCAGGACGGGAAAGTAGGGGAGGCGTGGGCGGCCCCATAGGGCTGCGTGGTGGTCCCGGGGGTGGTTCTGAGCCGAGGGTCTGAGGTAACGCGGCCCCCGCCTCCAGAGCCGGCGGGAGCGGGGCGGGGCCAGGGTGCCGCGGGACACCAGCCTTCTGGACGTGGTCTCGGTCCAGCTGAGCAAATTGGCTGGCGGACCAACGATCTGTGCGAGGGAGGGAGTCGAGATGGTGCCCCTGCGTGTGCACCGGGGCCCCAACGAGCCGGGCAGGGGCGGGCGCCACCGAGCTCCTCTCCCCGCAGAGCAGCAGCGAGCTCGCCATCCTGTCCAACGAGCACGGCTCCTACCGGTACACGGAGTTCCTGACAGGCCTGGGCAAGCTCATCGAGCTCAAGGACTGCCAGCCGGATAAGGTGTACCTGGGCGGCCTGGACGTGTGCGGGGAGGACGGCCAGTTCACCTACTGCTGGCATGACGACATCATGCAGGGTATGGCCTTGTGCCCGCCCGCGCTCCGGGCCAGGGTGGCGGTGGGGCCCGCGGCCAGGAGGCGAGGCTGGCGGCCGGGCGTGGAGGGGGCAGGTGCCGCAGGCCCAGAGCCTCTGGAGGAACCAAGAGGCGTCCTGGTGACAGGCAGAGAGGGCCCTGGCTGCCACCGCCCGACCCTGGCCCAGGCGACGCTAGCGCGAGGTGCCCTTGCTGGCCCTCTGGGGCGGTGCTGGGCCTGCTCAGCTTGGCCCGGCCCACCTTGCAGCCGTCTTCCACATCGCCACCCTGATGCCCACCAAGGACGTGGACAAGCACCGCTGTGACAAGAAGCGCCACCTGGGCAACGACTTTGTGTCCATTGTCTATAACGACTCCGGCGAGGACTTCAAGCTGGGCACCATTAAAGTGAGTGGGGGTCCCGGGGGCAGGCACGGGCCTGCCCACCTGGCTTGAGTCCATAGCCCCCTGGGCAAGCGCCCGCTCGTTTGTGCTGATTGTCGGCAGCGGGCACGGTCAGGGTCAGCACGACAGGAGCCGCGACCTCGGGTGCCTCCACCGCCAGTGGAGTAGGCACGTCCCCTCTGAGCCAGCGTCCCTGTCGCCTCGCTTTTCGTAGAGGAGGACGCTAGGGCCCGAGGCCCCCTGGGGAGGTGGGCTCCACCCAGGAGCCTGGGGGTGTGGGGGTGGGGGAAGGCAGTGGGGAGGCGCAGGTGCTCGAAGTGTTCAGATACTAAATGGGAAGCCAGGGAGGAGGCCACCGAACACGAGCACGGGGCTGCCGGCCAGAGTCCGGGAGCGGGCCGAGGCGGAGCTGCGGTGGGTGCCTGCGCTGCACGCCCCGGAGACGCACTGAGGTGTGGGCGTCCAGCCTGCGGAGCTCTGCTCTCGGTGACAAGGGAGGAGGCTGGCAGCCAGGTGGCGGCAGGTGTCACGGGCAGCACGGGGCGAGGTGGGGGCCGTGTGCCTGTTGAGGGTCATGACTGGATCTGAACTCGGGATTCGGTTGTTGGGATCTGGACGGTGGGGTTGTGGGGTTTTGGGAGGGAAGGCGGCCGTGGGGGGCGCCGGCCCGACAGCCCTGCCCCCGGGCTCAGTTGGGAGGAAGCCAGTCTGCCGGGTCGGTGGCCAGAGCAGCAGAGCGCAGGCTCCAGGAGTGAGCACGCGGCCAGGGCCGGGGCGACCTCTGCTCTTGTGCGTGCAGGGCCAGTTCAACTTCGTCCACGTGATCATCACGCCCCTGGACTACGAGTGCAACCTGGTGTCGCTGCAGTGCAGGAAGGGTGAGGCCTGGGCCTGGGCCTGGGTGGGGAGGTCCCTGTGGCCCTGAGCCCCTCGTGAGCTCTGTGATCTCCTCAGACATGGAGGGTCTCGTGGACACCAGCGTAGCCAAGATCGTGTCTGACCGCAACCTGCCTTTCGTGGCCCGTCAGATGGCTCTGCACGCAAATGTGAGCAGAGGGGCCAGCCTAGGGGCGGGCGGCACGGGCCCACGGGGGCCTCAGCTCCCCGCGTTTCCCTCCCTCAGATGGCCTCCCAGGTGCACCACAGCCGCTCAAACCCCACGGACATCTACCCCTCCAAGTGGATCGCCCGGCTCCGCCACATTAAGCGGCTCCGCCACCGGGTAGGGGGGATGGGGGTGGGGGCGGCACTACCCTCCAGCTCGCGGAGGGCGAGCATCTCCGCTTCTCTGCTTGTCGCCGAAGCAGCTCCTCATCTCCTTCAGATCCGTGAGGAAGCCCACTACCCGAACCCCAGCCTGCCGCTGACGCAGATGCACCCCCCGGGCCACGCCAAGGCTCCGGCCCCAGCCGAGCCTGCGCCCGCATATGAGACGGGCCAGCGAAAGCGCCTCATCTCTTCTGTGGACGACTTCACGGAGTTTGTGTGAGCCTGGCCCCCTGCCCGGGGCTCCTCTGCGCTTCCGACGCCCCGCCTTTATTTGCACAAATGAAATAAAGCGGTCGTGGCACCCAGCTCTGCTCCCGCGCCCACGGGCCCTTGGCGCTCAGACAGACACGCGGATGCAGTCAGCCAGCTTGTTTATTTGACTTCGTCGGGTGGGGGTGGGATCAAGGCTGTAGCTGCGGCCACAGAAGTGGTACAGGGCCTGTCGGGCTGCTCTGGGGGGGGCCCCGGCCCCCCCCCCCCCGCCACCACACACGTGTGCTCACCGGCCCCGGGAGCCGGCCCCCGTCCTCCCCCAGACCCGACACCCGCAGGTCTGGGCTCTGCCCTCTCGCTTCCCCTCCCCCGGCAGAGAACCCCGGGGAGGGGGGTGGTGACGAGCTGCCGAGGAGGGGGCTGTGCCCTTCCACCAAGCCTCCCACCCCAGCGTCCCTCCACACGGCAGCGGGCCCCTCGGCCCTACTGAAAAACAGCGACGTACAAAAATATATACATTTTTAACCCCGTATAAATTATTGACGAAAGACACACAGACGGTGGCTGAAGGGGAGTGCGCTGAGCGGGGGCAGGAGAGGTAATAACTTAGTGGGGGGGGACGACGGAAGGTGCAGCTTCCCTCCCCGAAGCCTGGATCCTTAGCGAAGGGGAGATGTCCGCGCAGGAGGTGGGGCCGGGCACAGCCCGCTGTACCTGAGGACTCCGGTAATAAATTAGCATCTCGGAGGCTGGGCGCTCGGCCCAATACTGCTGTGTCCTCCCATGGGGAGCCGGGGAGGGGACCCTGGGTCCTGGCTGCCCACACGGCTTCTTAAAGTGCTGAGACCCACAGAGAGACGACTGCTCCCCGGGGGCCTCCGTGCAGCTGTTCTGCCTGGCCCGAGACCTGAGGGTGGCAGAAGTTAACACTGAGCGGCGTCTGCTCTGGCTCCCTCCGAAAAGCAGAATGAAGCCACAGGCCCGCCACCCCGGGGAAGGGGTCGGAGCCCAGGCCCCCCGGGGCTAAGTGCTGCTGGGGTGGACCTTGTTCTCAGCCCGCAGGGAAGCCGGGCCAGGGCCCGGAGCCGGACCCACGCCACGACGGGCCCGGGCCAGGCAGCCCGGCAGGGCAGGCCGCGGGCCTGAGGAGGGGCAGGGGGCAGGGGGGGCAGGGGGGGCCGGGGCCCCAGTGCTCCTGCGGCCGTGCAGGCGCTGCAGCCTCTGCTCCAGCTGGTAGACGTCCTCTGTGGCCTGGTTGAGGCGGTCAAACTGCGTCAGAAGGGCCTCGAACACAGCTTGGAGGCGAGAGGGCTCGGGCTCCCCGCGTGGCCCCGGCCGGCCCAGGCCCGCGCTCGGCGCGTCCAGCTGGCTGGAGGAGGTGGAGGGCCGGGAGGCGTCGGAGCCCCCACTGGGCGGAGGCGCATCCGGGGAGGACTTGGAGCCCCGGGAGGAGCGGGAGGGCAGCGGCTCCATCCCTTCAAAGCGGACTTTGTGACGGAACTGGGGGCGGCACAGGGGCTCGGTCAGTCCGGCTGCACCCTGGGCTCCCCTGGGCCCGGGGTGCGTCCCTCTCCCCCCCACTGGGCCGTACCCACCTCCTTAACCTTGCTGAAGCCCATCCAGAGGCGCAGCCTGCGCAGGAACAGCTCCACCATCTCGTAGTCCTGCGGCTCCCAGGCCGGCCGGTAGAGCTCCCCGTGCAGCGCGTGGTAGCGCCGCCGCAGGAGGACCGCCCCCAGCCGCAGGGCCCCCCACAGCCGCAGGGCCCCGAGCCCGGTGCACAGCAGCGGGGAGAGGCGCCAGGACTCGGCAGGGCACAGGGCCGGGCGCCCAGACCCAGGGCACGGCACCAAGACGGCCCTCGCCGCGCTCCGCAACGAGTCCACGCAGGAGGAGACCAGCTGGAAGGGGAGGCGGCGTGAGGGAGCGGCGCGAGCGCGGAGCCCCCCGCCCGACGGCCTCACCCTCACCTACCAGGAAGGCCAGCTGCGCGTAGGCCACGGCGAGCACGAGCAGCCCCAGGGCCGCGCCCACGAGCTCTGGCAGGGCCCGGCACAGCGTCTTGCCGAAAACCGACCACTGGCGCACGAAGCGCAGCTGCTGGGCGGCCTGGGGGCGAGCGGTGTCAGCGGACCGAACGCCCCCGCCGCCCCCCGTCCCCCCGGCCGGCCCCACGCTCACCTTGACCAGGAGCAGAAAGAGCAGCGAGGCGGCCAGGCCGCGGGCCGCTGTGCTCAGCTGCGCCACCTGCTCGAAGCTGGTGAAGCGGCGCGGGCGGCGGCGCACGAAGCGGGTCCACTGGCGGTCGGCGACCCCCAGCTGGGCCAGGCGCACGAGCGCCGCCGCCGCCGCCAGGGCCACCAGCAGCCACCGAGCCCAGGCTCCGGACTGCGCGGCACGGGTGCGCCCTTCCCTGTGCCACACGCGCACCTCTGCCACCGAGAAGTACAGCGCGAACAGCAGCAGGCTCACCTGTGGGGCCGACAGATGTGGGGGTGGGGGTGGGCGGGGGTCCCGCGTGATGGGGCGGGGCCGGCGCTGGCGGGGGGGGGGGCAAACGGGCGAGGCCGTGGGGACCCACCGAGGTGAGCAGCGGCAGCGAGAGGCCTGAGCTCAGACGCCGCAGCGCGAACGGGCGCACGCTGACTGCGGTGACGGCTTGTCCCGCCACGGGGAACTCGAGGCGCAGTGTGACAGCGGCGTGTAGCCCCACGGCCGGGCTGTAGCGTGTCAGCTCCACGAACACCGCGCGGCTCCTATGCAGTAGAGGGACGTGGGTAGAGAGTAAGAAGGCCGGGTGCCCTCCCGGCGGAAGGGGCTTGGGCTGCGGGTGATGCGTGGCCCGGGGAGGAGCTGGAGGCTGAGCAGTCCGTGAGGTTTGTGAGGAAAGATGGGGAGACACAAAATGGGGGTGGGGGGGAGTGGCCCACGGATGAGGAGGGCCGGGTGTGGGGCGGTGTGCCTGCCGGAGGCGCGGCGGGGCGGGGCGGGGCGGGGCAGGGGTGGGGGGCGTGGACACCCAGCACACCTGTTGTCGATCCAGTTGTGCAGCTGCAGGAAGCCCAGCTGCGCGCGGCTCTCCTCCAGGCTCGGCCCTAGCTCCTGCACGTAGCCCCCGCTGTCGTACACTGCGCAGTAGCCCCAGGACCAGACCCTGCCGGCGGGGGGACAGCGTCAGAGCCTGGCCCCAGCCCTGGAAGAACCCGGGAGGCACAGCTGGCTGGGGAACCCCCGCCCCCTGCCTCCCGGATGGCGGGCCCCTCCCGTCTGCGCTCACCCCAGCAGGTCTGGCGCGGAGTAGGCCCACGTCTCAGAGCTGTTGCGGGCAGCACTGCCCCAGCCGATGCCGTAGTCGCCGGTGCTGAAGGAGCCCGAGGCTGCCGCACACGTGTGCACACGTGGGCCAGCAGGGTCTGGGCACAGTGCTGGAAGCAGAGGGGCCGTTGTTCACCAGCTCTGCATGACCCCCCCCAGACACCCCTGCAGCCCAGAAGGCAGAGGTCACGGTGTCCAAGAAGGCAAGGGACGCATGGCAGGGACGCGGTGCCAGGCCCCCCCCGCGGCTCACCTTCCTGCAGCCGCACCTGCCGCAGTCGTGGGGGCCCCAGCTCGGGGCTCGACTGGTTCCCATGGACGTAGGGGAGCAGCACATGGGACATCCACGGCCAGAACTCCTCAGACCTGCTCACAGAGACAGTCCCGAGCTCTACCCCGCAGCGCCCTGCACCCATGGGGGGGCGGGGGGGTCCGAGGCCCAGAGAGCATTGCTCCGGCAGCCCCAGCCCAGCCAGCACAGGGCCACCTGATGGGACAAGGTCAAGGCCTGGATGCCTCGGCACAGCGGTATCTAGGGCAGGTGAATGTCACAGGGCCATTCTGGGTGCTGTTAAGATTTTCTTAATTTATTCTGAGAGGACCAGAGACAGAGTGAGCGCGTGAGGGGCAGACAGAGAGGGAGACAGAATCCCAAGCAGGCTCCGCAATGGCAGCGCGCAGTCTGGCATGGGGCCTGAAACCCACGAAACGGGAGATCACGACCTGAGCCGAAACCAAAGGTCTGATGCTCAGCTGACGGAGCCCCCCGGGGGGCCCTGGATGTTCTGAACGGTATCTGCGGTCACGTGTTGCCAACAGCACCTACTCCAGTGACCACCCAGAACGCACTGAGACACTGCCCCACGTCCCCTAGGGACGGGGCTGGACCAAGGGCAGGATCCAGATGGGACCCCGTCAGCCCCTGCGCCCCCTGGCCCGGCAGGTGCACGTGCACGGGAGCGCCCTACCGGGTGATGGCCAGGAAGGCCCGGCTGCCCAGCTCCTGTTTGATGGCACTCTGCAGGCGGTAGGCATGGCCACGGCAGGACGCATCCCCGTGGTTGGCCAGCAGCGTCACCAGCAGGAAGAGCATATATACCAGGAGGCTCTGGGGACAGACGACCCTGGGGTCAGCCAATCCCAGTCTGAGCCACCGTAACACGGCTGGCCAGCCAACCACCCGTGGCCGGGCCACCTGGTGCCGAGAGGGCAGCACAGACCCCCGCCAGCACCCCACCGGCGGGGTGGACGGGTGTCCCACCAAAGGCTGCCCGTACAGCCGGGGGCGAGGGGCCAGAGGGCCGTGGACGTAGGGGAGTAGCACAGGGGACATCCACAAAGGAGAGGGCGCGCGCGCTCGGAGGGAGAACCTGCAGAAGCCTGCAGCTGCGGCCCGACACGGGACGGGGGCTGCTCACCCTCAGCATCCCGTGCAGCTTCTTGACCTTCCGGGCCTCTTCCTTCGCCAGGAAGAGCGCGAAGCCGTGGGGGGGCCGCACACGGGGCACACGCTCGCTCACAGGGGTCACGGCCGGGCTCTCCACCAGCGTGTCATCCTCATCGGGGTGCAGCCGCTTGGCCACCAAGGAGAAGTACAGGGCCTCCAGCAGCACCTGGGCCCGAGGAGGCGTCAGAGGACCCGCGGGGCCAGAGGCCGGCAGCGCAGCCCCCAGCACCCCACTCACCTTGAGCGGCTCCCAGCCGAGGAACGAGGCCAGGAAGCTGGAGCTGCTCGAGAGCAGCCACACCACAGCCACGCCGGGGGAGAAGCCGGCACCCACCCAGCCCGAGACCCCTACGGCCACAGCCACCAGGAGCAGGCTGAGCCCGTGGGCTAGGGCGGCACACCAGGCCGGCAGCAGCCGCTTCCGCAGATGGTCCACCCGTCCTGGGCAGGGAGACCGGTGACGGGCAGCCCACGGGGAGGGGCACGGAGGGGCGTCCTGGGGACGCCGGGGCACACCTGTCCCGGAGGGCTTCGCCGACCGGGGCTGCTCCCAGGTCAGGCCCGCGGCGGGCAGCCCCCTCTCCCCCAGCCTCTGCAGCAACTGCGTCTCCGTCCTCTCGGGCCTCTCCGCAGGAGCGCTGGACCTGGGCCACGGGAAGAGCAGGGGAGGAGGCACTCAGCTGGCGGCCCGCAGCGCGCTGTCCCTGAGCCACCCCCCTCCCCAACCTGTGTCAGCCGAGAGAAGACACTGCCCCAAATCAGGGTGGACGTGGCGCCGGTGCGCAGACCACCCCAGTGACTCGGGAGGGCCCCCGATTCCCGCCCTGCTCCTCAGGCTGAAAACCCACGTCAGCCTCTGGCCCTCCCCCCGCCCGCCACAGGGTCCTCACCCACGCCACCTCTGTTCCACCCGCTCCTGTCATCACCCCAGCAGCGATGGCTCACAGCACAACTGAAGCGGCCCCCGGTCTCCAGAGTCGTTTTGAGACCCTCCGGGGAGCACTCCACACACCTCACCCCTCGCCCTCAACCTCCCCACGCAGACCCACGTCTCACAAAGGGTTCGCGCTCTGATGCCACTGTGTGACTCAATTTTTGTTCCCCATCCCGCTGCCTGCACAGGCGAGGACACCGTAGTGACAGACAGGGCTGGGTCGTAAAGGACTCTGTGGCCCTGCTTTGCTCACTTGGGCCACTCACTCGGAGGGGCCGACTGTCATGCTAAGGGTACTCAAGCCGCCCAGGGGGAGGGCCAGACGGGGACAAACACCGAGGTGCCCGCCCTCTGGCTCACTAAGCACGGAGTTTGGAGTAACCCGTTACACGGCGACAGAGGACCGGGGTCCCCGGAGAGCGGTGGCAGGGCCTGCCTTGGGGAGCAGGACTCCGTGAGGGGACCCAGCGTGCTCCACACAGAAGAGGATTCTGGACCAAGACATCAGAGCAAACAGGAGGGTCAGACCCGGGACCCGGAGGTCTGCGGCAGGTGTGCGGGGGGAAGGGCCGGAGAGAGGAGTCAGCAGTGAAGGAAGACTTGTGGCGGCCGGAGGGCGCACCTGGCCGGTTCTGAGGCCAGGACGGTGGGGGAGCCGCGTCTCGGAGGGCGGGGCCCCCTGCGGTGCAGGCAGCTCTGTGCAGGCCACTGCACGTCCGGGCAGGTGGGGGGGGGGGGCGTCCATGAAGTCAGTCTGAGGCCTGAACCTGGACTTCAGGAAGGGCTTTGAGCTAGTTATTTGGGGCTTGGAACTGCTATCCCAGGATTTCCCCATGTTCTAGACCTTTTGAATCAATAGGCAATTTCTTTATAAAAATGCAATCATGTCACAGTTATCTGTTTTTATAAAATGACTCGAGAGGCTTTCCCCCGTTTCCTACGTTCTGGACAGTTCACACGTGTAACCTGTGGTTGTTTGAAAACGTAAAGAGTGAAAAGGAGCAGAAACGTAGTTATCAGAGGAAAAAAACAGAAAGTAATTTTGTATGAATTGTCTAGCACAGACATTAGAGATTCTTCAAAACATAACATCGAAATACTCTCAAAAGAAACAAATGGGGTATTTGGAAAAACTGGCCCCCCGGGCACCCCATCGGCCTGCACTTCCACCACCTGTGGGGAACGGAACGTCTGCTGGCCCCGGGCCACCCGGTGACATCCTTTCAACAGGTAAGGGGCCCAGCGGTCAGAGCACGTCCCCCAGCCCCGCAGCGGGGGAAGCAGGCGGCACAGCACAAGGTCGGCCCAGGCTCCCTGCTGCCCCCCAAGCCCCGGGAGTCAGCTACTCACAGGCCAGCGAGCAGATCCGTCTCCACTCGCGCGCCCTGGGTGAGGGCCAGGCTGCTGGCCCCTTCAGCCAGGCTCTGCCGGACGAGGCCTTCATCCAGACGGAAAGCGTGTCAGTGAGGGCCTGGGGCACCCCCCCACTCGTGGAACCTTCCGAGGAGCCAGGGGACGCCACCCTCCCCACCCCTGCTCACCTGAAGCTGAGAAGTACTTGGCAGGTGAGGAGGGGCTGACCAGGGAGAGCCCGTCCGCCTCTGAGCCCAGGCGGCCCCGTGCCAGCCGCTGCAGGGCGCTGCCCATGATGGATGGGTCACTCAGCAGGTCTGGCCAATTAAGCGTGCCTTCGCTGGACGGCCAGCACACCAGGCTGTAGGGGAGACGGGTCAAAAAAGGGAGGCCTGGGGGACACGCGTGCGGCCCGGGCCAAGAGAGTGTGACAACACATAGGGCCACGGGACCCAGCCCACGCAGCGCAGACCCACGTAACGCGGCACGCACGAGGTGGGGCGGATCCACGCCAGGGCTCACGCTTCTCTCGGGGACCCCTACCTTTTACAATCATCCAAAAATAAGTCACTTTTCATTTGTCCAGCAAAGGCCTGTTGAGAAATGCAGAGAATGCCTCAGATTCTGAGCTGGCCGGGGCCGTGGGACCACCCGGCCCAGGGGGTACCCGGGGGCACACTCGCCTCGGCACGGAGGCCCGGGAAGGCCAGGAAGGAGCTGTCCAGCACAGACGAGTCCAGGTAGCTGTCCATGTCCAGGACCTGCTGCCCTGCAGGGGTGGGGCTCGGGCCCCCCGTCACCTAAGGGAGAGGCAGGTGCTCAGCGGAGGCCACTCTGGCCCCTGCTCCACAGAGGTGTGCCACCTCCAGAGCAGGCAGAGCCTAGGCTGGTGCTGTGCAAAGAATGTTCTAGAATCAGGCACACATTCTGTATCTGCTCTGTCCATCATAGCGGCCACAGGCAGCTCGGGGCACTGGAGACGCAGCTGGTGGAGCTGAGGACTCCGGTTTTATCTGTCAGTGACCTGAACCACAGGTGGTGACTGCGCTGGCCTCTGGGAATGGCTGCAGGTCCCTCCTGAAGGAGGTGCTCTGTCCTTCCCTCCTCTCGTGTGGTCCCTGTGTGGCTGGGGCGGGACGCCCGAGCCTTGTTTCTCTGAGCCTGTGAGGCGCTGGCGCTGTGGCAGCTGCACCAGAGCCGCCAGTGAGGCCATTCAGGCTCTTCCTGGCCTGAGGGTTCGAATCGCTACCTCGGCCTGTTGCCAAAGATCTGCTCAGGTTGCGCCTTCCTCTCGAGTCTTCTCAGGGCCTTGCCCGTCTCCCTCAGTCACCTGACAGGCTGGTCCCCCCCACTCCGCCCTGATTTCTGTGGCATCGGAAGCAAGGTCCCCTTGGTTCATTTGCGGTTTGGACGATCTGGACTTCGGTTTCCTTGGGTCAGTCGCTGACCTTGCGGACCTGCCCTCCAGCCCCAGCGACAGGGCCCACACTCTACCCTGTGGGAGCTCCGCGGGCCCCAGCCCACCTTGCTCCGGGACATGCGGAAGAGAAACAGGATGGCCAAGTAGACGGGATAGACGACCACGCTGGACACCAGGCCGACGGCAACCGTGTCGGCACTCGGCGGGATCAGACCGGACACCGGCCCCGCACTGTGCGGCAGGAGAGGAGAAGGACCGGGCTGGGGGAGGTTGGGGGGGGCAGGAGGGGCGGGCAGGAGGAGGTGGTCGGGAACCCCGTGGGCACCCACCTGTGGGCGGCGTCTCCCACGACCCCATACCACACGGCATTGGCACCCAGGAAGAGGCAGATGAGGAGGACGCAGCAGGTGGCCCGCTGGACGCGAGTGAAGCGGCTGCGAGGTGGCCGGTCCCATACGGAGAGCCAGAGGTGCTTGTCAAAGAAGCCACGCTGCAGCTCAGCCACCAGGAGGCGCCGGAACCGCCGCACAGCGGCGTCGCCTGGAGAGAGAGCACGGATGGCTTCAGGCTTCAGGAGAGGCACAGCCACCCCTCGGGGCCACCCCTCGGGCTGCTCGGGCGGGGACGGGCCCAGGCCCTTACTTGCTGCCAGCACCTCCTTCTCCACGAGGCCGCCATTGGCCTCAGTCTCCACCGACAGCCAGTCGTTGACCAAGAAGAAGGTGCTGCAGGCGGTCTGCAGGTCCCTGACGATCACGTGCTGCAGGAACCAGGAGGGGCTGAGCCCTGCGGGGGGGAGGGGGCGGAGTCAGGGTGAAGGGCCTGGGGTGGGGGGTGCCGGAGGGGCTGCCGCGGGCGCCCCCCGCAGACCTTTGTTGTCATGCCACACGCGGATCTTCCGCACACTGCCCAGGCTGTGCGGCGTGGCGATCTGGAACACGTCTAGGCTGTTGCGGCGGAAGGCTCTGTCCCCGTCCAGGTGCCGGTGGCCGCTGCGGCCCTCCGCCCCGTACAGCATGATGCCCACGTGTGCCGTGGTTCCTGGAGGGCGGACAGAGACGCGGCGGGGCTGGGTCTGCTGCCCACCGCGTGGGTGCGTGACGCCGGGCGGACCTTCCGTCACTCAGCAGACCGGCTGCCCCGGCAGAGGCGCGCTCGGCTCCCTACAAGTGTCAGGTGCACAGCCGCCGCCGACACGGCGCAGCCGGGGGCTGTCAGGTTAACTGAGCGACTGCGTGAGACACGAAGTCGGCCGCGAACTCCCCCTGCCACCCTGTCTCCCCATGATATCACACGCACGGGACGTTTTACAAAACTGAGTCGTCAGAAGGGGACAGGCCGGCAAGCGTGAGAGCGGGACACGGAGGGGAAAGCGGTAACCTGGGAGAGGCGTTCAGAACACAGGTAACCAGGCAGGTCGAGTGCAATACAGAAGGGGTCACGAGAGAAAGGACAAAGACGTCGCACAGCAACCCCCGTGAGCGGTCAGAGGGGCGTCACGGTGCAGGAGGGCCGACAGGGACACGCGGGCGTGCGGGAAGTCCTCGAGGCGTGGAGAACACGCTCATCCGTGTGCTGAATCCCGCAGCCGCGAGGCAAGCACTGCCCAGACAACTCAGCAAATTTTCCACATGGAAATCGAACGTTCAAGTCACGCTGTCCTCCTTCAGTCAGTCCCGTCTTCCTGGTAACGGCTCCCCACCACCCCCACTGACGGCTGGCTCACGCGAGCAGGCCCCGCGCTCCGGCGCCCCGTGGGGCCGACAGGCTCCTGCCTCACACGGCACTGCGTAAACCGAGCCTGCGTCCTGTCATCTACTAGGACAGTTGCTACAAGGGAAGGTGGCCAGAGCGCGCGTGCAAGGGCAGCCCAGGGGCCTGGACCGGGCAGCCCCCCGCCTCACCTGAGCCCCGGCCCCAGCCAGTCTTGACCAGGATCTCGTACTTGAAGCGGCCCCCCTTCCCGCAGAAAGGGATCGCACGGACGCGGCTGACATCCAGCTGGTCCAGCTTGCGCAGGATCACGGCCATGACCGCGTAGGTCACCAGGCACACGGAACACGTCAGCAGGACGACGTAGTTCACACCCGAGGCCGGCTCCTGGGGAGACAGCGCCATCAGGCCCAGGAGGCACGGCCCACGCCTTATTTTCTCAGGATGCGGCCGAGACACGGTGCCACTCACTGGAAAGACGAAGCGCACGTGGCTGGGAGGCACGAAGAGGCTGGCCCCGAAGGCAGTGAGGTGGCGGGTAAGGCAGACGGCCTGGCTCGGCGACGTCTCCTCCAGAGGCGCGAGCCCCTCTGTCCTCCACATCATGTCCTTCTCGCTGAAGTACTGGCACAGGGACGTGTACAGGCCCACGGTCACTTCCAGTGCCGACCAGCGGAAGTGGCTGGTCAAGTTCAGATAGTAAGTCCCGCCTGGGTCTCTGGTCCTAGAAGCGGGGCAAGTGTCACAGCCAGACCCTGTGTGGCCCCAGAGTCACCGCAGCTCCTGCCCCAAGACCCCTCAGCTGCAGCCACACCCGCCACGTGTGGCCAGGCCTGCTGCCAGACCTACTCCCACGGGGAACCCCGTGACCCTGATGGGGTCCACCCGGCCGTCAGAGACTAGCCCCCGCTGCGGATCTGCGGGGGCCCGCTTCGCCGTCCCGGGGCTGGGCGCGTGCTCACCCTGGGGCAATGAAGAAGGTGTAGGGCCTGTGGTCGCCGCCCGCCAGCTGCTCCGGGCCGATCCTCCTGCTGGCTGAGCAGTTGTGCTCATTCGGATGGGGCACCGAGTGCAGGTACACAGCCAGGTAGGGCTCGGGCTCCCGTGGCAAGTAGTGTTCTAGGGACACAAGCACAGGCTCAGACGGCCGCCCCAAGCAGCCCAGGCACCCTGGGGGAAGCCCCTGGAGCCGTCCCTGCAGCCTGGGGCCGGGGGGGTGGGGGAGCTGGTGAACTCTCAGCTGCAGGCAGCACCCGCTCTTGCCTCATTCCCTGCTGCCCTCAGGCCAGGCCCCCAGGAGCCTGCGAAGCAGGAGGCAGACTTTACTAAAGGCCACAAGTTGGGGGCTCCATGAGAAGCACCTGCTCCCCCGGGGCACTCCCCGCTGCCCCACACAGGCTGTGCCGAGGCCCTGGGGCACACGCAGGACCCACCGCTAAGCAGCGTGTAGGTGAGCTGCAGGTGAAGCCCGGCGGCGGGGTTGCTGTCCTCGGGGGTGACCACAACGCCGACGGAGGCCTGTGGCTGGACAATGGCAGAGCCGGCAGGGGTGCTGCGGCCCTGGGCGGCCTGCTCGGAGTTGTTGGGCACTTTCACGGTGATGGCGCGCTCCGAAGCCAGCCGCCCGATGGGGATCTGGGCCCCGGCCTGTGTCTGGAAGGCCATGGATGCCACCTTGGTGGAGACGGTATAGTTGCCAATGTAGCCGAAGGGGAAGGGGTTGGAGTCGACAAGGATGATGAGCTGCACCACGTCACTGAGGTTGGACAGGGCCCCGCTGAAGGCCGTGGGGATGGAAAAGTGGCAGTCGGGAACCGAGGCGTTGCCCTGGCAGAGCAGGCTCAGCGGGTCTGAGCGCTTGCCCTGCGCCACGATCTCCTCGCCGGCCAGTGTCAGGGGCTCCTCGTTGAGCACCCGGGAGCGCATGAGGATGCACATGAGGGCCGACGACAGGTGGTAGGCCCTGGATGCCACCATCAGCGACGGCGGCTCTGCGCCCAGCTCTGAGGGCTGCGGGCCCTGCACGTCCGCACTGGCCAAGTGGATAAGGTCACCTGTGGGAGGAGAGGTGGCAGGGAGTGCTGGGGGAAGGAGCGGGAAAGGGCGGGGGAAGCGGGGGGAAGGGGCGGGGGGAAGCTGGGAGGGGGGTGGCACGTGCCTGCACGGCCGTACCCGCACCTGTGATGTTGAGAATGCTGTCGGCAATACCCGTGGGCGTCCCGGTACCCTCCGCGGTCTCGGCCTGCAGGACGCGCATCATGCCCTCAAGCTTATGCAGGGTCTTTTTCAGACACGAGTGGCACACGAGCTCCCTGCTGGACACCTGCGGGGAGGCCAGGCACCATATGCAGCCCCGCTCCAGCCAGGCTGACTGGGGCTAGCGCCCCCTGCGCCCCCTGAACCCAGTTCTATCACACTGATCATGACTGTGGGCAGCTACCGTTGGCCCTGGCTTTTCCCCGACACCCTTCGTGCTGCAGCTAGAGAAACCACCCCAAACGTGGGGTTCCAGCCACGCATCCCTCTGCTGAGAGCTCTCCTGTGGCTTCTCCACACCCACAGACAAGGAAGGTCCAAGGTAACGTGGCCCTGTCACTCGCCCTGATCTGTGCGCGTGGCCACGGGAGCCATGTCATCGGGCAGCTCTCCTGAGTGGGAAGGTTCTCTGCTTCCTTCCCTGCTAGAAGCCATGCAGCCCTTTCCCACTGCCCAGAGGCACCACGTGCCCCTACCCCCACCAAGTCTGTGCTCAGCTCAGCCCAGGCTGGTCCTCGAGTCCCGGGCGACATTGGTGGGTAACTGCTGGGGGTTGCAGAAGCCAGGTCAGGTGTGACCACGGGCTCAGCGGGAGGGCACCGGATCGGCTTCTTCACACACGCCCTCCTTAGAGCTGAGCTGCTCCTTACGCCCTGGGCCACCCTGCACAGTCACACCTGAGGCTCACGTACCCAAATGGCCTAAGACAGGCACATGGCCAGGGAGACCTGGCCAGGACCGGGGCCGCCACGGAGCCCGGGGCCCACCCTACCGTGCACTGGGCCAGCGCCGCGGCAATCTGCTGGATGTCATCCACGGTGTTGACCCGCAAGGAGACCAAGGTCTCTGTGACGTTTTTGCGTATCTGGGCTTGCAGCTGCCGCCTGGCGTCCATCTCTGCTGACGAGGCCGGCGCCTGCTCGGGCTGCGGGCGGTGAGCACAGGGGACGGAGCCCTCAGGGCAACGGGCAGTGGCACCCGCAGCCAGGGCAGGTGTGATGCAGGCTGTCGGACGGCGGCTCAAGCCCGGTTTCTCCAGGGAAAAGGGGGACTTTCCTGGGACTCATGGGGGGTGGGGCTTTGGTGGGGCGGGGGGGAAGGGCCCACAGGCAGGGACTGTGCAGAGGAGAAGCCGTTCCAAGGAGATGAGTCCGGGACCGTTTACGAGGCAGTGGAGACGGGCCTGGGCCCACCCTCCCCACTGAGGGCAGATGAGAGGCACTCCTCACCCCCGCGCTGGCCTCGTTGAGCACAGTGATGAGGGCCAGCGAGTACTCGATGACGGGCTGGGGGTCGGCCTGTCTCAGCAGTCTAGGCAGCATGTTCTCTGTGAGGCTGTGTAGCCAGGTCGTGAGGTCCGGGGGGCCGCCGGGCAGGTCACTAGGGAGCTCGGGCAGGGCGATGGCCAGAGACCTATGTGCAGAGGCCCTGGCTGAACAGGCGGCAGTCCTGGCTCCCACCTCCCACCTGCCCCGACCCCGCCCAGGCTCACCTGTTGAGCGCGACCACGGCGGCGCCCAGCTGGTCCTGAACGACCACGGCCAGGCCCACCTGGAAGTGGGGTGCGAAACCAGGCGGCAGCACGGCTCCGTAGGCAGAGAGGCTGCCCCTGTAGACGCAGAACTCCTCGCAGTGGCCCTGGCGACAGCGCCGCAGCAACAGGGCGTACACGAGTGGGGCGCCTGCGTCTTCCGCATCCTGCCAGCCTGCGGGCCCCTCACAGTGTCATTGGCGCCCCCGAGTCCCTGCGCCGCGCCTCCCTGTCATCGGCAGCTGTACTCACCTGTGCACTCGAAATGCACCTTGGTGGTGAGGGCCCGGACCGCGTCCAGCGGGAAGAGGCGGCAAGAGCCACCGCGCGGGGGCCGGTTGGCGGAGAGGCGGATGGAGGCACAGCCCTCTTCCTCGCCCGAGCGGCCCAGCACCGTGAGCGTGAACGTGTAGCCCTCGCCGTCCCGCAGCACGCCGCGCCGCACCACCAGCCGCATGCCCGAGCTGCCTGTCGACGTGGTCGTCTCGTCCAGCACCAGCGTCTCGTTGCTGAAGGTGCGCGCCGCCCAGCGCTGCGGAGCCGGGGGGACCAGGGTGCTGAGGCCGGGGAGCAGCCCCGCCCACCCGAGGCCCCGCCCCCGCCGAGGCCCCGCCCCCCAGCCCCACACTCGCTCACCCCTCGCTGGGAGCCCCGGCTGCAGTTGTCACAGCGGCCCTCCAGGTACACGTAGGAGCTGCGGCTCACCGCGTACACCGCCTGCGCCTTGCAGGACACGCACTCCAGGGACACAATGGGCACCCGGCCCCTGCGGATCATCACCTGGGGGTGGGGGGAGGGGCCATGACCTGAGCCAGGGCCCCCACTCCTGGGGCCCGCACCGAGTCTGCACAGTGCAGTAAGCCCCAGCGGGGCTCCCGGGGAGCCGGGCCTCTGGCTTGGCCCTGGTGCTGGTCTCCTGGCTGGGAAGGCTCCTCTCTGGGCCCCGCCAGCTCCTGTTAACCTGGAGTCCAACCCAAGGCTCTGGGCTCAGCCCTCGTCAAGTACATTCAGTTTTTGAGTCTGGAGGATGGTGGCGGGCACCCAAAAAGGCTGGGTCCACCTTGGGCTTATTTTCTGTAGCACCCAAAGTCCAGCTTGGGCCTGGTACACGTGAAGCACTAGGTGCTCACCTGTGAACGGGATGGACGGATGGACGAACAGACAGACCCGTGGAGGAAAAACAGAACAAACGCACGTGTGGTGCGAAGGCGGGTGTGCTCACTACAGAGCCCTGTCTGAGGTCCCACCTTAGCCCATCCAGGCTGCACCCGCCCCATGCTCCCCAGACAGGCCCTCTCGGCAGACTGGCTGGAAGAGGGCTGCTGGCGGGGCCAGACCGGCCATCCCGGGCACCAGCAGCGCCTAGCACACCGGCTCCTCCGGCCGCAACAGCAACGGCTGCCTCAGAGGCTACCGGCACCAGCACCACGGTCTTGACCTGCCCAGAGGGCGTGGGGGCGGAGAGTGTAGGGCCTGTGCCCACCGGGGGGCGAGAACAGGCCCTTCCTGTTCACAGCTGAGGACATCCATGCCCTGGGAAAGGGGCCGGTTTCCTCACCGCCTTTGGTGCTGCCGGAACCCCTTACTTCTCACTAATAAACAGCTAGCGCGCCTCGGCCCCTCTAAGCTCTGGAAGGCTGCAGCGCTTTTGCAAGGAAACAAAATTGAAGCAAAACGTTCTGTTAAAGAGAATTTGTATCAACAGCAGTAACTCATAATGAGAACCAATAGCTTCCAGAAGCACCAAACCATGGGCAACCTTCGCCAAGGTTATTTGGCACTGACAGCCCTCCATGCCCACTCCTCTCTGGCTGCACCCCGTCCGTCCCGGGCCTGGGGCTTGCCAGGTGAAAGACAGGGCCAGTGGCACCCACCGTCTGGTTTGTGGCCTCCTCCTTCCGGCCTGCCTTCCACACGGTCAGGTTGAAGGTATACTCGACGCCGGCTTGCAGGCGCTCCCGGGGGACAGTAACCACGCTGCTTCCCCGGGGCCCAAAGGTCAGGGCGCACCCACCACTCTCACTCTAGAGCCACAAGGGAAGGGGGCATGAGACCCTGGATAATTTCAAAGCAGAGCCCAGCCCAGGGCACACCTGGGAGACACCCCCCCCCCCACCTGCCGGGCTCATCCGCACGAACGACCGAGGGGGCCAGAGGGGACGTATGCACCCCGCAGTGCACCTGACCTGCGTTGAAGCCACACAGGCCCAGTGAAAGCTGAGTGGCGTCTGGTCGCCGTCCTCAAGGTTGGGATCGTAGGACTTGCTCCCATCCAGCACCAGATCCTGAGTGTCTGACCACACACGGTACGAACCGCCCTCAATGATGGGCACCAGGCGCTCAGGGACCACTGTCACATTGGCTTGGATGCTCTGTGCCAGCGGGGTGTCCCCAAATGACACCAGGAACACAAAGCAGTAGTGGCCCACAGGCAGCGCCAGCCGTGGCACCACCAGCTGGGGCCGGCTCATGTCCACGCCGGGCAGGGCCACAGGGGCCACGCGCATGGGCCGCTGGCAGCTAGCTGCACGGTACACCTCCCAGCGATACTCAGTCTGGTAAGTGACGCAGTCGCGTAGGTTGACGTGGGCTTCCAGGTAGTTGCGCTGGGAGCGCCGCATCAGCACCTGCGGGGGCAGGGCCACGTCCACTTCGGGCTCCCTGCAGGCCAACACGTGGACGGTCACCGTGGCCTGGGCCACGAAGAAGCTCACCAGGTTGGAAGCGTTCACCTGAATGCGGTAGTCCCCAGGCTGCAGGTAGGAGTGTTCTGCCCAGGGCTCCTCTGTGTCCTCCCCTGGGGCCCCGTCCCCGAAGTCCCAGCGATAGGCCACGCGCCGGGGGGTAGGGCTTGTGGCGGCCTCAAAGCGGGCCGAACGGTTGGTAAAGCAGCGGCCGCTGTGCAGCACCACGTGCTGGATGGTGTCCTGGACCTCGACCATGAGCGTGCGGTTCACGCCACCCAGCTCGTTGAAGGCGCGCACGTGGATTTCCAGCAGCCCCGCGGCCACAGGGGTATAGGTGACGTCGCGGCCCGACAGGATGACCAGCGAGTCCCCCTGGACCTTCTGCAAGGAGAAGTACCACGCGTAGGCCACGCGGGACCCTCGTTGTACCCGAGCCGTGAAGTTCCTCTCCGTGCCCGTGGGGATACCTGGCTCACAGCAGTTGGGCACCTGGAGCCCACCCACAGCCTCCAGCACCAAGATGCGCACCTGCGCCTGAGCCCGGCTCACGTGGTTCTCTGCATGGACGCTCACCACATAGTCCCCAACCCGGGGGAAACTGCGGGAGAAGCGGGGCCCGGGGAGGGCTTCCGGGACGGCCCCGCTGACCTGCAGCTGGAAGCTGACGGCAGAGCCAGCGGCCAGCACGACCTGAAAGTGGACCAGCTGCCCAGGCTCGGCCACCTTGCTGCTGGCCCACAGCACCAAGCCCACGATGGGCTCCTCCACCGTGAGCTCGTGCGTGGCCATAACCCAGCTGATGGCGTTGGAGGCATTGAGCTGAATGGAGACGGCACCAGCGTCCCGGAAGACCACAGAAATGTGCTGGCCGTGCCTGCTGCCACCTGGCACCGCCCAGCACCAGCTCACGTTGGTACCGGAATCCAGCTGCCCCCAGAAGGGCACAGCAGACCCGGCAGCCACAAAGCTGCACGCCAGCTCGCCGGCCCTGATGCTGAGGCCACTTACAGGCACCTGCACAGCCACCTCAGTGGTGGCATTGGCTGAGCCCAGCTGGTTCTTAGCCGTGACCGTGACCAGGTACAGGCCGGGGGTGGGGAAGGTGTGGGTAGTGGACGGCTCCAGGGTCTCCCAGCTCAGTCCTCCCTCCAGAGACCAGGTATAAAACACGCTGCTGCCACCGGCCAGCTCGGCACAGAGGGTGACGCTGGCATTGACAGCAGCCGGGTTTGGGGAGGCGGCCGCAGCCAGCCACCCCACAGGCTCCACGAAGTCCACGGTACGGTTGGCCAAGACGCTGCCCAGCATGTTGGTGGCCCGCAGCAGGACGCGGTAAGTGCCGGCCTCCAGCACGGTGAGCGAGAAGGCTTTGCCGCTGCCGACCAGTACCGGGCCGCCGTCCCGCTGGGCGGTCCAGCTGTAGGAGATGTTGGTGCCGTCCCGGACCGCGGCCTGCAGCTGCAGCGTGCGGTTGGTGGGAAAGCAGCAGCCGCCCCCGCCGCCCACCACCTGCAGCCCCTCGATGTGCTGCAGAACGTAGATGAAGATGCTGTCCTGAGCAGCGCCCACCTCGTTCTCGGCCGTGACGATGATGTTGAAGGTGCCCACCGAGCGGAAGGTGTAGGAGATGGTGGGGCCCCCAGGGATGGGCGTGCAGCGGTCACAGAGCACCCAGGAGTAGCGCACGTCGCTGCCAGCCTCCAGGGAGGTGGTGAAGCTCACGCTGCCGTTGAGGGGCACCACCGTGCGGCTGGCATTGACGCTGAGCCCCCGCGCACGCTGCTGCACCGTGACGTTCAGTCGAGCCTCGTCTCGGCTCACCTCATTCCACGCGGCCACCCGGACGGTGAAGTGGCCCGTGTTGTTGTAGGCATGGGTGACCGCGGAGCCCTCGAGGAGCCCGCCGTCCCCCAGCTCCCACAGGTAGGTGGCGGGGCGCCCGCGGCCCACGGCTGAGAACAGGTAGGGCTGCTGCAGCTCCAGCACACGAGAGCTGTTGACCCGGACGCCCGTGAGCTCCACGGACTCCTGCACCTCCACGAGCGCGGAGTCGTTGGCTGAAGAGATGTTGTTGGACACGGCAACTGTCACCAGGTAGGAGCCCGAGGCCAGGTAGGCAAATGTGGCCTCAGGGCCCCCGACGCGGGCTCCGTCCTCGGTGCCAAAGTCCCAGGTGTAACGGTAGGGGAACGGGGGCCAGGCACGAGCCGCCAAACGGGCCTCCTCCCCGAGCCGCACGAACTGCCTCTCAGGCCACAGGGTGACATTGCCCAGCTCGGGCTCCACGCAGACGCTGGTGAAGTAATGGGCCTTGTTCACGCGGCTCGAGAGGACGAGCGTCAGGGGGAACGTGCCGCTCCGCGTGAAGTTGTGCGTCACCGCTGGGTCCCCCGAGATGGTGGTGTTGGAGGAGCCATCCCCGAATGTCCAGTCAAAGACGTAATGTGCAGGGTCCCCGGTGACGTAGGCCGTGAGCTGGGCGCGGGGCTGCACGGGGATGCAGGCCGCAGGCTCGATCCGCAGCACCTCCAGGACGAAGACCTGCACGGGCAGGCTCAGGGCCAGGCGGCCTGCGGGGCTGGACGCCCCCACCGTCACCGTGCAGTTCTGTGCCCGCAGGTACACATGCTCCACCGTGGCCTCAGGGCCCGTAAGCACCGTGCCGTCCCCCATGTCGAAAGTCCACGTGACGTTGTCACCCGACTCCAGGGCGGCGCTGACGGTCACAGGCATGCCCTGTTCTACGGCTGGGCTGAGGCTCACGCTCAGGCCCCGAAGCTCCTCAAAGACACGGATGCTGACACACGCCGCCACGCTGCTGATCGTGTTGTTGACCTCCAGATGGACGCGGTACGTGCCCCCCGCGCTGTACGTGTGGTTGGCCTCCGGCTGGTGCTGCGTCACAGCCGGGGAGCCATCCCCAAAGTCCCATGTGTACAGGATCCCCCCAGGTGAGGGTAGTGGGTGTGGGGCGAAGGTCACAGTCTGGCCGGCCACCAGGACGCAGCCTCCCACGGCCACGGCCACAGCAGGCAGGGCGGCACGCACGCTCACAGGCACTTGCTGCGTCAGGTTCTCGAAGGCATTGGACACCAGCAGGGTCAGGTTGTACTCACCTGGGGGACAGGCCTGAGTGAGAACACGGCCAAGGCCACCTCCACCACCTGCCTGGCAGAGTCATGGCCTAAGCCCGTGCTGCACCCCCGGGAAGACAGAACAGGCCCTCGGTCAAAATGTCAAGGGAGAATGCGCTGGGACCCTGCCCTGGAGGCTCCTCGCAATGGGGCGAGTGCAGGATCCCATAAGCAGAGAGCAAGACACAGGGCTGAGGCAGAAAGGAGAGGGGAGCAGACCCTCTCTGGTTAACAGGAAGAGTCAGTGCGGGGCAACAATGGTGGGGTCAGCATTGTTCACGGCACGTTCTGCGTGTGAAGCTTCCGGAATTTTAAGGAAAAAAGGTAACCCCCTTCTGACCCAGAAAAGAGTCTGAGTAGGGGCCAGGAAAGTCCAGTTTCTGGCCAGGAGACCTGAACCATGGGGCTCAGTGGCCCAGTCCGCCCTTCACCCCAGCACCCCTCTTTCACCCTATTAAGGGTCCCAGGCCACCAACCCAGAGTAGACAGAGGGGGGTCGTCCCCACGGCAGGGCAGCTGCGGCCTCACCTGGGATGGCGTAGGTGTGTGTGACATTGTGCTCCACCAGCACCTGGGCCACCGTGGGGTCTGGGACCCGGAAGGACTCATTGTACGGAGGCTTGAACTGGCCAATCACCCGGTCCCCGTCCCCAAAGGTCCACCTGCCAGGGAAGCAGGCAGGCAAGGGGAAGGATGGGGTGGGAGCCCATTGGCCTGGCTGCACTCGCTCCCCTCCCCCAGCGTCCCACGCACCCGGCACCTCCCTGCAGGTGAGGAGGTGGAGGCCAGGGCAGAGCCCAGCACCAGCCCCACCTGGGCCCGGCCCGCTCCGCTGCCCACCAGACCAGGAGCACTCACAGGAAGGCCACCTCCACGGCGGAGTCCACCAGCACGTGGGCAGCCAATGCCAGCGTGGCATTGGGGGACAACACGGGCGGCACTGCGGACACCCAGAGGCCCCTCATCCTGTGCATCCGCTCCACGGTGACGTTGTAGTTCACAGTGACGTTGCTCACGTGGTTGGAGGCTGTCAGCTGTGGGGACAGGTGTCAGTGTGTGGGCTGCCAGCAGGTGGTGAAGGGCCCGAGCAGCACGGCCAGGAGCCCACCCTGCACTCACCCGCAGCCAGCCGAGGGGTCCTCGGGAGCAGAGCAGAACGGGAGGCAGAGATGAGCAGGGCATGTCCGGCCCGGCCCCGCCCCCGCCCCGCCCGGAACCGTGCGCCCACCCACCGAGAGCTTGAAGACAGCAGCGCTCTGGTAGATGACGTTGAAGACCACGTTGTGGAAGGTCAGGGACTGCTTGTCGTCAATGGTCCAGCGGAAGACCACGTCCGAGCCGGCCTCCACCACAGGGCTGTATCTCTGTGGGAAGGACACAGCATTAGGGACCCTGGGGCTCTGGAGACCCGCCCACCAGGACATGCCTCCCCACGGGGCTTCCCAGGCCGAGTTCCAGCCACCTCGGGGCGGATGGGGAGGAACCACGTGTTACAGGACTAAGTTTGGGCTGACCGTGCCCTCTGACGTTTCAGTTCCTCCGTCTTCCTGTCTGGAAAGTGATTTAGTGCGAGCGACAAAAAGTCCCCACCATCTCTGAATCTCTGTGCTCCCTGTCCCTGGGCTCCTACCCAGCCCCGCAGTCACAGACAAAACAGGCTGCTCGAGAGGCATGGAGTCTCAAGGGGCCTCGTGGTTTTGGATGTTTACCCAAGTCAGCCTACAGAACAGGTGTGAGCAGGGAGCTGAGGCAGATGACTGCACAAGTGCTGGGGCAGTCAGAGGCGCCCTTCTGCAGCCCCCATGTGCAGGCCGTAGAGCTGGTGGCTGACCTATGCGTGTGTGGACGTGGGGAAACCCCGGGCAGGGACAGCACCCTTCCAGCACAGCATGGACAGCAGCAGGGTGATAATGAGGACCCTCCCTCCCCCACAAAGCACTCCTTTCAGCATGGTGGGAACACAGCAGAGGCCTTGAAAACACTCAGGCGGGGCGCCTGGGTGGCTCAGTCGGTTAAGCATCCAACTTCGGCTCAGGTCATGATCTCGGCAGTTTGTGCGTTCGAGCCCTGCGTTGGGCTCTGTGCTGACAGCCAGCTGAGAGCCTGGAGCCTGTTTCCGATTCTGTGTCTCCCTCTCTCTCTGACCCTCCCCTGTTCATGGGGTCTCTGCCTCTCTCAGTAAAAAATAAAAACATTAAAAAAAAAAGAAACCACTCAGGCTCCAGGAGGGAGGAGGTGCTCATGGGCCGCGGGAGAGAACGCGGCATCCTCAGGGCTGCTTATGGGTGGTTCCTCATTAACTTGGGAATCACGACCGGTGTGAGGGGCCCACAAACAGAATCCGCCCAGAAACCAAGCCCGGGCCGCTGTCCCCAGAGGCCGAGCTCCTCCTCCTCGGCAGGAAGGGGTCGCGGTGGCCCCCCAGCTTCACTCACCACCAGGACGCCCTGCAGCACCCGGGCTTCAGGGCTGGGTGTGGCACGCAGGCCGCAGATGGGCTCCTCGGCCCTCACCCGCAGGCTGAGGTTGGCCTGGCCAGCACCGTTCTCCACCACCACCTCCACCGTGTGCTCGCCCTCTTGGAGCCCGGGCAGCGCCAGCACCGCAAACAGGGTGGTGTTGGCCTCAAGAGCACAGCTGGGCACCAGGACAGCCACCGTGGGAGGGCAGGCGGCCTCAAAGGGTGCGCTGACATTACCCCCAGGCCAGTGGGCTGTGGCCGTGGCATTGGTGCCGGAGTCCACCCGGAGCACCAAGGCTGAGCCGTTGGTGGACACATAGAGGTAGCCGTCGTGGGGGGTGGGATGGGCCACACGCAGCCCGGCCACCGGGGAGAGCACGTCGAAGCTGCAGGACAGGTTGTGTGTGGACACGCCGTTGCCCACCGTAGCCTGGACCTCGTAGCGCCCAGGCCTCCGCAGCCCTGGGTTGGGCCTCACGCCGAGCAGGGGGGTGAGGCGCTCCGTGGCAGCGAGAAGCCGCAGGGCGCAGGCAGGGCCGGCCGGGGCCGCCTCCAGCTGGGCTGGCAGCTGGGCCAGCCAGGCCGAGGCCGTGGTGGTCAAGTATGGCGCCTCGGGGCCAGGGGGTCCAAGTGCCGGCGAGCAGTGCAGGAAGGCGCCGGCTCCAGCGTCGTGCTGCAAGGTGATGATGTCACCGGGGAGCAGGGGGCCATCCTGGCCATGGAAGGTGACCTGGGAGAGGGAGGCAAGCTGTGACCTCACAGTGGCACACTGCTGGGCAGGGGGCTCCCGCAGGTGGGCAGGATCCACCCGGGGTAATCTGGACTCACACCCGCAGGGAGGTCGGCACTTGCTCACTCCCCCAGGCCCTCACGGCAGGGACCGACGGGCCAGCTCAGAGGGATGGGCCACATGCAGGGCAGAGGACAAGGCTGCAGGCCAGGCAGGGACGGAACCTCTGAGGGACACTGGGGCTGGGTCAAAGAGAAAAGCCTGGCTGGCAGCTTCTCACGCTGGGGGGTGAGCAAGGACAATGACAAAGCTGGAGCAGGGCAGGGGCCTGGCGTGCCAAGCGGAAGAGTGTGCGGTTTGTCTGTGCCTGATGGAGACCCAGGCCTCGGGCAGCGGGGTGGGGACACGCCGACGCAGCCGGGCCAGCACACGTACTGAATACTGGGTGGGAGGGCCGGCCGGCACAGAGAACAGGAACTCCTTCCAGAGCACACAGGAGGCCCCGGGGGGCCCTGGCATGGACTCATTGGCACAGGCACGGGGCTGGCAGAGGGTGTCCAGTGACAAGGGGATACTGGCTCGGGGGCACCAGGGTCCCTCCGGGGTGCATGCGGGCACCCGCCGAGTCTGGCTCTCTGAGGACGCAGTCTCAGGCTCCCCGCTGCGTCCTGGGGCCCCTGCAGGGAGAGGAGGGGTGTCGGGGCCCCCGCTTGCTAATAAGCCCCAGTCAGGGACACCCCACCCCCACCATCCCTCCTCTTGTCCTGCTGACACCAGGCCGGCCGACTGACCCAGGCAAGCCCCATGCCCAGTGTGGGGGATCCCGAGCAGGACTCAGTTTCTCTATGGACCCCACTCTGTGCATCTTAAGGCTGGAGACCAGTCCAGCGTCCAAGGGGCCCCTGCACGTGGGTGACAGGTCCCCACCGCCCCACGGGGATGGAGGCCCACCTGCTCCTCCCTCGGGCCGGAACATCTGCAGCCGCAGCTGGGCTGGGCGGCGGAGCTCCCGAGTGCCGAACTCGGCAGCGGTGAGGAAGGCTTCCCTCCCCAGGCCCAGGCCGGGGAACACCATCACCTGGGGAAGAGAGTGCTCAGCTCCATAGCCCCACGCCCCCGCCACCCTGCACCCACTGGATCCGAGGGGAAGGAGCGCCCAGACGGGGCCCCACACTGTGACTAACGGTCACTTGGAACAAAAAATCAGGCCCAAACCATCTGTGAGTAGCAGGACCCCCACCTTGTTTTTTAAAAATCCACAAACACCCAGAGAAGACACCCGGGGCTTTCGGAGCCACTGGGGGCACCACTCCCCCGCAGGGCGGTGGCTCCCTACACATCTCTACTCCGCATGTAGGACATTAGTAAGACTCAGTCTCCAGACCAGGTCCTGGCAGGTCCTGGGGTGAGCCTACCTCGACGGCCTCCTGGGGGGCTGAGAGGGCCTCTTGCTGTGCCAGGGGGCTCAGGGGGCCCTGCAGGTCCCCAGGGGGCGCTCCCACGAGGAAGTTCTCCGCATCCAACACGGGACCTGGTACAGCGTGTGTACAGTGAGGTGCTGGTCCCGGGCAGGGCCAGACCCAGGACTGAGCCACCTGGCAGGGGTCCCCCAGCTCCCCGCACCTCTGCTGCTTCATCTGGTGCAGGCTCAGCTTGGGACCATAGGTGCTCAGCAAACACCTAACCAATACTGAGCAGCTAGGAACGAGCCTGGGGTGAGGTTGGGACTGTCCTGGGGCGCCGGGAGACCTGCACGTTTGGGGGGACAGCCCTGCAGAGGAGCTCCCAGGGGGGCCAGGAACCCTTTCCTGGTTTAGGGAGGCGGCTGTCCTGGTGCAGGACGTGAGGCGCCCCCCACCCCCCCGGCAACCCCAGGCGCACCTCCGGGCTGCAGCTCACAGACGTAGCTGTGGGGCACCGAGCACAGGTCCGTGTTGCACTGCCCCGCGGGCCCGAGCCGCACACAGCGCTCAGCCGTGGCAGGGTGCGGCTCCCCGGGCAGCCAGTTCTGGCAGCTCTCCAGGCTGAAGGCCTCGCTCCGCACGGCGGGGCCCGCCTCGGCCCCCTCCATGGCCGAGAAGCCGATCCACACGTCCAGGCTCCTGCAGGCAGACGGTGGGGAGGATGGGCGCTCGGGAGACTCCAAAGACAGCCCTCCATCTGCCCTCTCTCTCCAGGAGCTTCTTCCTCATTCCTCATGGCAGCCCCTCAGGTAAGGCCTTGTCCCTCCCCCCACTTTCCAGACGAGGAAAACTGAGGCTCAGCGAAATGACCAGGCAAGCAAGGCCGTGGTCATGTCCACTGAACCGCCCATGCCCATGGGGCCAGGGGCCCAGCTGAGGGCTCCGTGCGGTGTGAGGGCTCAATCTGGCCACAGGCTGCACACACCCACACTGTACTCTGTGAGAAAGCTCCAGGTGTAGCATTTGGGGAGCAAGACACCTCAATATCAATCAGCCCCCCAAACGCTACTCCCCACAGCCCTGACAAGGTAGCAAGACCCTTCTGGAGACTGGACTTATAGACACAAGGTCAGGAACAGGCACAGGGATGCAGGAATGGCACACGGAGAGGAGTGAGGTGCTGTGGTCAGAGCCACTACTGTGGGCAGAGCCCAGGTACTGCCAGTTTTTAACTGGGTGACCTTGGGCAAGGGCCCTGACCATTCTGGGCCACCGCAATTTCCTCTTCTGGACGCTAAGGATATCCAGGGTATGAGCCACATGCCAATCGACCCCTCCCCAAACAAGGACCCTGGGAGAAACAGGCGTCCAGCCTCCGTCCCCTTCCCAGCCATGGCAGGTGCTGAGAGCCAGGGGGAGGGGCGATGCCTGCTCAAGGAAAGCACATTTCCTCGCAGGCCTGGGGGGAAAGGTGTCCAAGAGGCTCCTTGTGCGTGGGCAGCCTCCGTGATCACGCCAGAACTGTCCCTGCCCCTGCCAGGAGGGGCTCAGCAGGGGACAGCTGGGGGTGGGCAGCATGTGGGACCTGTGATGCACCCCCCACCCCTACATCCACATCTGTGTCCGAAGGGTGTTGGAGGAGCAGGGCCCCTCAGCCCCAGGCGGGCCAGCCAGCTGGACTCGGCCCCTCCAAGCACTGCCCCCCCCACCTCTCCTGATGCCCCTCAGGCCTTAGGCTCTGTCCCCGACCCAGCATTCCGGGAATGCCACCTCACAGCTTATCCGGGGGTGGGGGCAGGTACCTGGTGACCTGGGAGACCAGGAAGCGCTGGACGGCGGGACTGTCCACCATGGCCAGGGCGGCCCCAGCCCAGGCCCGGCACCGCTCCTGTGCCTGCAGCCAGGCAGCCTTCTCTGCCACCAGGCGGTAGCAGCGCCCATTACCGGGGAAGATGGCGGTGTCCGAGGGGCAGAGCGGATGTACCACTGGGGAGTGCGCAGGCAGGGACGGGGACATCAATGTGGGCCCAGCCGGGACTGGCCCACCCGCTCCAGCCCCTAGGGGTGAGAAGGCACCCACCTCGAACGGGGTCCTCGCCCACAGCCACAATACTGTAGGTGGCTTCCAGGTCGGAGCCACCACGATTTCGGACGCCAAGCTTGAGGGTCTCGTCACTGCGCACCGAGACTGGACACGCGAGCTCCAGGGCAGCGGGAGCCGCCTGCACGTGCACCGCGGCCCCGAGCTGGGCAGAGCCAGCCCCCAGGGCCAGCACAGCGGTCACCTGGTAGCGCCCGGGCAGGGAATAGCGGTGAGTGGCGGCAGGACCAGCGACATCCACCTTAGGGGAGCCGTCACCAAAGTCCCAGTGTGTGGAGCTGACGGGCAGGGAGGCGGTGACATGGAAGGCTGCTGGCTGGCCGGAGGCCAGGGGTCCCTGAGGCCCCACCAGGGCGGCCCCCGGGGAGGCAGGGAAGACGTTCTGGAGGAGGGTGGGGCCCCCGCAGGCAGGGGCGAGAGGCAACGGGGGGCTGGAGCACAGTGGCAGGCAAGCCGAGGAGGTGTTGGGGGGCTGGGCCACCCCGCACAGGCACCAGCCCTGCTCCGAGAGGGCCCCGAGGCCCTGGCCAGCCACAAAGCAGAAGGCGCCGCAGGCCTCGGGCGCCAGCGGCCCCTCATGGGCAGCTGAGAAGGCCACGGGCACCACGGCTCCCGAGCTGTTGTCAGGGAGGCAGGCGATGTACTCCTCACCTGGACGGAGCAGACAGGCTGGTCCCAGGCTGATCCCAGGCAGGCCCCGCCCCTGCTGCACCCCTGCCCCATCCGAGACCCCGGCTCATGTCACCCACCCCGCCTGGCACTCACCATCCTCCCTGCCTCCCATCTGCACCGCTCCCTTGACCCCCGACCTGGTCTGTCTCAGCAACCACGACTGCCGCCCACGTCCCTCTGTTCCCCGAGTCCCGCCTGCCACCACCCGGGCTGCTGACCCTGAACCCCCTATGGGGTCCTACCGGGCAGAGAAGGACTGAGCTGGTCACATTCAGCCATACTCACCACAGCCGCTACGTGACAAGGGGCCACCGAGGAGGGGCCAGCCAGCTAGGGGGCCGGGCCCAGCACACGTGGCCGCCTCGGGCCGAACCACGCGAACCTGCCGCTCCTCCACCCAGCGAGGCAGCCACGCCAGGCCACAGTCACACTCCAACGGGTTTCCGCTCAGGTTTCTGCAGGAGGCGCAGGGCCAGGCGCTCGGGAGGCAGCAGGGCAGACGAGGGGGCCTCACCCCAGGGCGCGGGGCGCCCTGACCCGCACAGCGTCCCCCACCCCACGGCAGCCCGCCGGGCCCTGGGAGGGCTCCCGCAGGCAAGCAGACAGCCCTCGGGCCTGGTCTCAAGTGGGAGTGGGCCGCCGGAGGCCAGGGCAGGGGGGGGCTGCTGGGGGGCCTCGGGGCCGGCTACCAGCACCCACCGAAACAACTACTTACATTTCACTTAAATTAAATAAGTTAGCAAATAATCCTTCTTCTAAAGTAGAAATCTTGTTGTTGCTTATGTCCCTGGAAGAAATGGGGGATTCATCAGGGTCTGACAGAAACCCCCATAACCGAAACGGTGATGGGAAGCCGCCCTCCGCGTGGACACTCACAGCTCCGTCAGCGCAGAGAGGTTCGCCAGGAGCCCGACGTCCAGTGCCTGGAGCAAGTTGTGGGACACGTCCCTGAGGAGCAGAGCGACCGCTAATCAGTGCCAGAGCCCCAGACAGGACACAGAGCAGACCCAGGCCCACCCCCAAAGGCTCCCTCGCGCCCACAAACTGCAGTCTCCCAATTCCCCACGCTTGGGGCCGGGATGTGGGATCCAAATGAACAGAGGAGAGAGGACTGGGAGCCCTGAGCATGCCATCCACACCCTGCCCTGTTCCTCTCTCCACCCAGAGCCATACCCCACCGGCCCCCGGCCCCCTGCCCCCTGCCCCAGCATGGCAGCCCAAGGGTCTCAAGGGCCAGGGGCCTAGCTGTTGCCGGCTCTGGGAAGGAGATGGTCTCAGAATGCCCCTGAGACACAGAGGGGCACAAAGACCAGATAAACCCTGGTGACCCTGGTGGGGGACCCTGGTGGACAAGCCCACAACACAGCAACAGCAAAGGAACGCAGCAGAGACCAAGGTTAACAGGACCTCAGTAAGAACGTCGGCACAGCCAACGAGGCAGCACGCAGTTCGAAGGGGAAGCATAACTGGGCGAGAATCATCATGAAACATCGATGCACGCTATGCTACCCCGAGCTGTGTGTGCCAGACCCTTGGGAGACAGACTCTGACCCTGCAAGAGTCCACGCGGGACACGAGATTAACACAGACAACACTGACCACCAGGAGTCAGAGCCTGACCTCAAATAAACCCCAGCAGGTTCAAAATCACGGGGGAAGGAAGGTGCAGGACCCAAGACCCACAGAGTCAAAGGTGACACTCTTCCAAAAGCGAACAGACTGAAAGAATCCAGGAGGACGCCACAGACTCTTCACACCACAGACTCTTCACAGCACGAAAGGATGAGCAGAAATGTAACATCCAAACCGGATGATCCAACTACAGAAAAACGTGCAACTTCCACACAGGGTATGAATCAAATCAGAAAACAAGCTGGGACGAGCACCGGCAATTTAGACGTGGGATCAAAGGCCCTAACACCCTTTGCACACACACTGCTAATAAATGACGAAGGCTATGGGGGAAAGACTTAAAGAACACATAATTACCGAGAGAAACACAGATGTCACGGACGGGCGGCGAAAACCATCCCCTGGGGGCAGTATCTGGAGACGCACCAATGAAAGCATTTTATCTACCAAGTTGGGAACGTTTTGAGAACCGTGATCCCCGGGGCCGCAGACGAGGCCCCACTCCTCCAGGAGAGGCAAAGCCTCTGCAGCCAGTGATTCCTGGCTGGCCTGGAGGCAGAGGCCAGGGTCGCCCCTGGCCAGCCACTTCTTGGGACAGAGACCCACGGACTACGCTGACTTGGTGGACACCGTTGGTCACCTGCTCCACTGTGGCCCCCTCACCCTTTCCTCGGGCTCCCACACGTCTGAGCAGACCCTTGCCATGGCCTCCAAACTGATGACACCTGGGCCTCCCACCCGCAGAGCCTCTGCCCTTCCAGATGTCACCTCTCGCCCTCTGATGTCCCCAGAACGCCTCTCCCCACTCCTACCGCTGCCCCTGGTGACTACCCAGTTGTGCAGAGGCCAGTGGTCATTGATGCCTCCTCCCGGGCCTAACCATTTCTAGGTCCTGTCAAGCCAGCTCTTAAAATGCTCTGACTCGCAGCTACCCAGCCGCAGCCCGGTCCAGACCCCCATCCCCAGAAACCGCCTGGCCTCCGCGGCCCTCCTGTCCAGGCTCCTGAGGCAGCCCGCGGGGTGTCCTAAAGGCCCGCTCGCCTCAGTCCCCCTCTGAGATGGGTCCTGCTGTGCCTGGCCAGCTCCAAATACAGCAGGACCTTCGTCAGAACATGCTGGGGTGAAAACCAGGTCCTCCCGGGAGCCAAGGCATGGAGCGCCCCTGAGACCAGGCTTCACGCAAATGGGTCCCCACAAACGCAGGGGAAGGGGGAGAGTGCCAGGGCTTTGCGGGCGGGGCTGACCGGAGCAGCACCCCTGCCTGGCTCGCGATGCTGGGGACCATGTCTGGAAGCAGGCTGAGGAAATGACCCCCACCATGGCCCGACCGTGGCTTCAGTCGAGAAACCTGCTGGCCACACAGGGTCTCACGCCAACCATCAGGGGCCTGGGAAGCAGCGGCACCAGCTGGAGCCCTCCCTGGGCAGCTGTGCCTCCACCGGGGAGCCACGGGAGCCATAGGCCACAGAGCCTCCTCCCGTCCCCTGTGGGGTGACAGGCTTTACGGTCAGGGAGCCCAGAGCCGCTGGGCAGGCGCAGCCGCCACAGCACGCAGGGGCGAGAGAAATGCAGCCCCTCTCTCTGCAGCTGGACAAACTAAGATCTAAAGGAAGGGCCGGAAAGGGTGCACAGTAACAACTCGATCTTTTTTTAAGTTTATTTTTTTCATTGAGAGAAACAGACCGACAGAGGAGACAGAGAATCCCAAGCAGGCTTTGCACTGTCAAAACAGAGCCCAGCGCAGGGTTCGATCCCACCAACCATGAGATCATGACCTGAGCCGAAGCCCAGAGGCAGCCAAGGGCCCCCGCCCTGGGTTTCTCATACTCATTCTGCCCTTGAAGTAGGAGAAACAGGGTGTGGAGGCTTCTGTGTAGGAGGGGACAGACTCCCCAAGGGGGCCTCGAATGGGGGCTTCAGAGGGGACCAGACACAAGGGGGGTGGCAAGGGGGACCAGGAGTCCCATCGAAGAGCAAGCTGGGGGCAATGAGCCTCTTCCACCCTGAGAAGGAGCACTGTGACTGATGACGGGCTCAGGGCCAGGGCCCAGAGAGGTGGCCTGGACGAGGCACTGGCCTCAGCGAGCCTCTCCGTTTCCATTCCAGGGGGGAGGGGGGAGGGGAGACAGTGCGTGTGTGTGTCTGGTCGCACAGGTCCGTCTCCACCCACAGCGAGGGTCCCCGGAACTCCAGGACAGGAGAGGCCTTTGGGGGCCAGAGGACTTGGGGACAGGACCTCTGGCAGGGTCACCTCTGCCCCCAGGAGGTCACACGTGGCAGGGGAGGGGAGAGCCTGCCGTCTGGTGGCTGGGGTCAGAGGGGCCAAGGTGGGAGCCCACAAGTGAGTCTGGGACTGTGGACAGCAGCTTTCCTCTGGAGCACACTGCCCGCCCCGCACTCCACACCCCTGCCCCAGCCGGCCTGATCCCGCCAGGTGGTTCCCGGGGTGCGGTGGGGTGGGCAGGCCGGGGGACCAGGGAGACGCAGTCGGATGCCCACCCACGGGTCAATCACGATGCCCCGGAGTGGCGATGACTGGGCCACGAGAAACTTCAGTGAGACCCGCATAGGGAGCTGCGGGTGTCCAAACTGAGGCTGCAGGGGGCCTGCGACTCTGAGGGACAACGAGGCCGCAGTGGCATGAGAACTGACAGCCCTGAGAGACGACCCAGACAGATGCGACCTGGGGACGGCGGGGCACGGGGTGACAGGTCCCGGGAGAGGTTCCCAGCTTGGGCCTCCGGCACAAGAGGAAAGAAAGAAGGAAAATCCCTAAAATGTTTTTCCACATCCCCTTTTCTGGAAAATCCATCAAGAGTGGCAGCTGCTGGGAGCAGCCTGTGGTGCCCGAGACAACAGGGCAGTGGGGGGGAGGGGCAGGCGGAGCCCAGGGCCCAGGCCACTTGGCCAGCACCCACCCCGGCCTGTCAGGACACCACCGTCCCTGGCCTCACCGGCCTGTGGCTCCAGGCCATCCTCGGCCCACTCGGGTCCTCCGTCCAGCTCTGCCTGGCCTCGCGGCCCCATGGAGCCGCCCTCCCCCCCCCCCCCCCCGGAAGGCCCCTCCGTTATGGTCACATAGTCACGGGCACTGGCCACGTGCTCCTTGCCTACCAGGCCCCAGCTGAGCCCCTTCCCCCGCCCCAGCACTCACCTGGGCCCATGGCGCATGGGCTCCCCGGGGCCCTGCTGGCCGAGGTCCCATGCCCCAAGGGCAAAACCAGGACAAGAGCCAGGTGCCACACCATGGGTCCTGAGCCCCAGCCCCCAGCCTGCCCCAGGGTGCAGAAGCATCTGCGCGGGGCAGGCCATGGCGAGGGTGTACACGGGCAGGGATGGGAAGGGGGGGAGGGGGGCGGGGGAGAGGGATACTGAAGGGGAGCTCCAGGGGGTCGCCAGAAGGACACTGAGAGGAACACTGCCCGAGTCCGCAACCAGTCCCACAGCCCCAAGGTCCCAAACAGCCACTTGTCCTCATTTCCATCTGTTCTTGCCATCACTGTTCTGGGGGAACAGAACGCCAAAGAGGCCTCATGCCAGCCGTGCCCCACCCCTCACCCCAGCCGCCAGGGGCTTCCTCTGCAGCCCCCAGGTGACATCATCACAGTCTGGTGCCCTGCCCCCACACTGGGGCTCCCTGCGTCCTGCAATGCAGCGGGGAGACTCAGCCGGCCCAGGGAGCCTCTGCTGCAGGGGCCCAGCACAGCCAAGCACAGCAGTGTCCAGCCCCTACTGGGAGGAGGGCCGGTAGCCTGGCCGGATGGCACCCCTTAGAGGTCCAGGGGCAAGCAGGGCCCACCCCTGGGCCAGCCGGACACTCCCAGACCCTCCAAGGCCCACACAACCTCCAGGGGCCCTAAGGCCCAGGCTGCCGGGGTCAGGTCTGCTTAGGGAGGAGGTGGGTGACCTGGGGACACACACCCCACCAGGGACAGGCCAACATCCATGACAGCACAAGACACGTGTCACCTCCCCAAGCATCAGGGGTCAGTCTGAGAGGCGGGCCTTCCTTCTCCTCCCCCACAGTGAGCCAGCAGTCACTGGGGAGCCCGGTCTGTCCCCCATGCCAGGATGGTCCGACTCCCTGCCCAGCTTTCCAGGCCAGACGTTCTCATGGGCACCCGCCTCCCCTCAGTGTGGTCCTTGGGGTTCAGGCACCCCCTTTATGTCCGGGTCTGATCTTTTCTGCTCCAAGCAGAAGCCTGGAGGAGGGGTCCCTGCCGCCACCACCGAGCTGGAGGTGCCTTGCGGCAGCTGCTGAAGGCCCGCATCCGGGAGAGACGGCAGCTCCCCCGCGCCCCTCCACACAAGGCTCA